CTCCTGGGATGGACAGGGGGCCGTGAGGAGCCACATGCTCTGGAGTCTGGGAAGCGAGCGGAGTGCTCCGGGATGGAGGGAGTGGAGCACTCCAGGATGAAGGGAGCGGAGCGCTCCGGGATGAAGGGAGTGGAGTGCTCCAGGATGGACGGAGCAGAGCGCTCCGGGATGGAGGGAGCGGAGCGCTCTGGGATGAAGGGAGCGGAGCGCTCCGGGATGGAGGGAGCGGAGCGCTCCGGGATGAAGGGAGCGGAGCGCTCCGGGATGGAGGGAGCGATGCTCTCTGGGAAGGGAGCAACGTGGTCCGGGAAGCGGGCGACACTCCCTAGGACAACGGGAGCAAAATCCTCCAGGACGGAGGGAGCGAGCTTCTCCAGGACAAGGCAGGGATGAGCTCCGGGAAAGCTCCGGCACGAGGAGCAGCGGGAATCCATATCCCGGAGCCRCAGAGGGACATCATGGAGCCCCCCATGTCCCCCCTATCCCGGGGCAATCCTGGCCTCACCGTTCATAGCAGCGGCTGCGGAGCGGACACTGCAGATCCCGAACTTCCAGAGGAGCCCCGGAGTCCCCGGGCTGTCCGGACSCGACCTGACCCGGTCCTGACCCGGTCCCGGTCCGACCCGGTCCTGAACCCGGTCCTGAACCTGGTCCGGAACCTGGTCCCGAACCCGGTCCCAGACCCGCCGCGCTCTGCACAGGGGAGGGAGGGATGGAGGGAGGAGGGATGGAAGGAGGAGGGATGGAAGAAGGAGGGATGGAGGGAGGGATGAAGGGAGGGAGGAGCAAGGATAGAGGGATAGAGGGAGGAGGAAGGGAGGGATAGAGGGAGGGGAAGGAGGAGGGATAAGGGGAGGAGGAAGGGAGGGAAAGAGGGTTGGAGGGAGGGAGGAGGAGGAAGGAGGGGAGAAGGGAGGGATGAAGGGAAGGGCTGTGGCTGCCCCACCACCAGYGCCCAGCCCCACCAGGCCCCAGGCCCAGAGGTTGAGGGGCTCCGGGTGCTCCCATCCTGGACTGGGGACATGGGGAGCAGGGATGTGGGAGCTGGGGTGCTGGTCCAGGTCCATGAGCCTTGGTCTGGGTGCTGGGTTCAGGATCAGGGATGCAGGGGGTGTGATTGAGGGTCTGGGATGGGGTCGGGGGTGCTGCTCCAAGGATCTATGATCCCTGGCCTGGGTGCTGGGTTCAGGATCAGGGATGAAGGGAGCGACGATCCACTGAGCTCTGCGGAGGCCAAAGCTGGAGCGTTGGGGGCAGCTCTGGGCTCCCCAGGACAAGGGGGCCGTGGAGCTGCTGGAGAGGGGCCAGCGCAGAGCACCAGGGCTGAGGAAGGGCCTGGAGCAGCTCTCGTGTGAGGAGAGCCCGAGCGAGTGGGGCCTGCTGAGCCTGGAGAAGAGGAGGGTGAGAGGGGAGCTGGCGAGCGTGTCCAAGGAGCCGAGGGGAGGATGGAGGGAGGAAGGTGCAAGCTCTGGTGGGTGGTGGCCAGGGGCAGGCCAAGGGGCAGTGGGTGCAGGTTGCAGCGCAGGCAGCTCCATGTGGCCGTGAGGAAGAACTTGTTTGGTGGGAGGGTGCCCGAGCCCTGGCCCAGGCTGCCCAGGGAGGCTGCGGAGGCTCCTGCTCTGCAGATCTGCCAGCGCGCCGGGATGCGCCCGGGTGCCCCGTGCTCCGGGTGTCCCTGCTGGAGCAGGGACCTTCCAACCCCAACCACCCTGGGATCCTGTGACTCAGGGTCCGGGATGCAGGTTGGAGACTGGGACCCGTTCTTGGTCCCAAGGGGCTGCGGTTCTGGGTCCCACCCAGGGTGCTGGTCTGGGGGAGCCGCGGGTGGGGGTGGCCGTGGGGACCCCCTGCTCCGCAGGCTGCTGCTGCCCTCTGCCGAAGCCCGGCCTCCCCTCGCTTCCCTGCCCCAGTTCCATGCGGGAGAGCCTGGCATTCCATGCGGGATTATTAYCCCGTGGGTTTCCGGATGCACTTGCGCTCCCAAGGCCTCTCTCCTCCTTCCTCCCCCTCCATCCTCCTCCTCGCCCTGTGCGCACTGCAGCATCCCCGGGCAGCGCTGCCCTCTGGGACAACCTTGGGAGCCAGGAGGAGGAGGAGGAGGAGGAGGAGGAGGAGGAGGAGGAGGAAGGACCTTGGCTGCCATTCCACCCCCTGACGCAGTTCCCCCCCCCAAGAAACGAACCAGAAAAAATAAAGACGGAAATAAACGAAAAGAAAAGAAATCGGGAA